GGCGGCGAGGGCGGGAGGGCGGCTAGCGCCCGGCCGGGGGTGGGAGCCTCCTGGCCGGAGCCCTCGGCGGTGAGACCCTCCGGGACGGGTCCGTGTAGATGAAACCGCTGAAGTTGCAATAACCTGCGGCGCTGCCCCTCGGGAGAGCGAGGCGCTGCGTGAGGTGCTTAAACGTGTCCCGGTGCGCGGCAGTCGGGGGAGGCTGGAAGGAGGCAGACCATGCCGGGCAATAGGCCTGAATCTTCCTCTCTGGTTACATGCTGTGATTAAGCTGGGGAGGTGGGAGAAGGGTGGACAGTGAGTCTCCAGAGCGTTAGGTAAATCAGGGAAGGCTTTGCTGATGACTGCCTTTCACACTTGGGCATCCTGGCTCTCAGGCACTTGTGCTGCAGTAGGGCCACATGCGAGTAACTGAGTAGATCTGGTGCCTCAGGGTCAGGAAAGCACCTGCAGCCCATCAGCTGCAGGCAAGAAGGGACTTCCTTCTGCTGCAAATAGGCAATGTGTGAATTTTCCATCATTGCTTCTCCAGTGTCTTGTAAAACATTTGACTTCAAGGCATCCTATCCCCAAGGCTGTGACAAGTCGGTGTGACAAGGGCAGTCAGATACCTCAGGAAGTGCTTCATCTCCCCAGGACACTCTCCACAACTGTGCAAAAGTAACAAAATGTGCTTCTGCTGAAGTTTTGCTGATCGTCTTGGGAGCTGGTGGCACAGCAGCCTGAGATGGAGAAATGTCTTTCAGTGATAGCCAGGAGAGTTGTCTGGCATAAAACCAGGCAGTGGGTAGGACACTGAAACCCCAACTGGCCTGAAAAAATAAGTCATACACACTTGTCTCACTTCTTCCTAAGGAGCAGAAGCTCTTGGTGAAAGCAGTAGCACACAGAGATCTTGGGGAGGGGGCTGAGATAGTTAAGATGCCCGCTGCCTTAGCGTGACCGTCGTGCCTGTCCATATTTGTTCTGCAGAACTCACTCAGTCGCAGAGGAATGAGAAGGTGCAATGTTCAAACCATGATGCGACACATATGCTTGTTCTCTCCCCTGATGGGAAGCTCTCTGAACAGTGGGCTACAGCTTCAGCTGACCGCTCTAAGACAAGGTAAGAAGCTTTCATGGGGTGGAGGTGTGGATGGTAACAGTCAGAGAAGGTGGCCCACTTTTCCTAAAGTAATATCGAAGAGACTGAGGTATGTTCCTATTGTAGAGAGGGAAATGGAACACTTTCATTGCTAGTACCCAAAACTTTATCTTCCTTTGTTACCCAGCAAGAAGTGCACTGATTTTGAGGATAATGTCAAGATCTGAGCTGCTTGAGATGCACATGAGACAGCTTTCTCTCAAACTTAGTAAGATTCGGTAGCGTATACCAGAGTAATGCACATGACTTGCAAACCACACGTGGCTTGGGAAAGCTGCGGGTGAAAGACCCACGCACATCTGAACGTTGCCACCTTCTAATTAAGCTGTGAGGGTAACCATCATCTAAAAATGGCACAGCAGTTTGCTGTGGGATTTTCTGTTAACTTGCCCAGGGCTGACCCTGATTTTCTTCCAGCTTCCCATGGTGCAAACCACAGTCAAATCAGTTAGGGCAGCTGCAGTAGGTTAGCATTAAGAGCACGGTGAATCAACTTACAGGTGACCTATATTTTTTTCCATGTAATTCCCACTAAATATGCTAGGACTCGGTGAGCAGAGGATCTTCTTCCTTTACTTTGTCTCCTGGCACAGCATGTATCTATTTTGATTTGTGTTTTTTTCCCTTTATTTTTGTAGGCTGGTGAAAGAACTAGGAAACCAAAATATTGTTCAAATAGCATGTGGGGACCAGCACGCCATGGCACTGTCCAGAGGTAGCCTCTTTCAAACACACTTCTCCTCCAAATGGGAGTCACATTACGTCAGGCTTGCTCTCGGAAGGGAGTGTTTGAACTCCTTCCAGTAGTTGGTGACACCATTAGAGAGTAATGAGCGATGGGTGGGGGACACAAAGTGCGCTGGCTATCAGTGCTGCCCTTTCCTCCCAGCACCCAGGGACCTGCAGCTCAGTCTCTCTCCAGTTTCTGAGCACTACCCCTCCGCAAAGGTGTGTTGTGGAGAGCAGATGTGGCTGCCCCACTCTGCAGTCACCAGACCTGATCATTCTTAAGTTGGAGCACCTCTCCGGTTGGGAACTTCTTGCAAATATGGTTTAGAGGTGGAAACACCCTGCCTTTATTCTTGCTGTGCTGAGTCACGCAGGCAGCACGGGACTGCCCCAAAGGGGTCAGAAACAAACAGGGAGATTTCGTTGCTGCTGATGGTCTCACCTTGCAGCTAGATCCCTAAAAACAGCACTGATTTTTGCTCCCACTCCCAAAGTGCAAAGACTCAAGGGAAGCAGTGAGGCTGAGCTGTTTTCTTTTGTCCTGTGTGTGAAGGAGGTGAGCTCTTCACCTGGGGCCAGAACGCCCGCGGACAGCTTGGAGTGGGGAGCCAAACCACACTCATCCCCCAACCGCAGCTGGTGGAAAGACTAAAGGGCCTCTCACTCGCTCACATTGCTGCTGGAGGAGCTCACAGCACCGCCGTGTCACTCTCTGGAGCTGTGTACTCCTGGGGAAAGAACGATTTTGGACAGCTGGGACTTGGAGACACAGAAGGTAAGGACGGACAGCAGTAGGAAGGTGTTTTCCTGGTCAGTGAGCTTACTGCAGATGCAGGAGTGGCTCTTCAGGACTGTCAAGCCCCTTTGGAGCAGCAGTGGACAGTGAAGTCTGTTGAAGAAAGTGTATCTGGATAAGTTCTTTGTTTCCTGACCAGGAAAGGCATGCAGGGATAAGGGGTTTAGGGGTTGTATTTTTACAGACAACTTCCAATCATTTTAGGTGGCCAACTGGATAGCGTGGGCTCTTAAAACCATATGTCTCAGAGGTCTCTTTTCACTCCTATCCTCTCTCCAGGCAGTCTTCCATGAAGGAAATTCATTTTATACCTCTTTGCTTTCTTTAATTCTCTGTAAACACAAGGTGAGAGAAGAATTAAAATCACCCATTGTCTTCAAACCTAGAAGGCTAGAGCAGAGTTGCCCTAGCCAGACAGAACCTGAAGTCAGCAGGATCTGAATGAGTCCACACCCTTGAAAGTCAGATATTTTGAAGCCAAGTACCTTTTGGCAAGCAGATGTGAAAGCACTGCGTTTTGTTTCAGATCGAATGTGAATGAAAAGAAAATACTATGAAAAAGGCAGAACATTATGAGAAAGAGTATGTTATAGTGGAGGGTAGAAAACTCAAAACCAAGTTGTAAATACATGAATTGCTGTAAGAGAGGACTGAAAAGCGCTAACCTCCCCTATTTTCTAAATCTTTCTTTGTGTGAGACCCCCCAGTACTCTCTCACTTTAGCAGTGTGATCTTCTTTCCAGACAGGGACCGCCCATCATACGTTGGAGCGTTAGAGCACTGGAAGACTGTATTTATCTCATGTGGGGCAGACCATACTGCAGTTCTCTCCAAGGTGAGTCTGAAACGGAAAGTCAGCATCTGAGACCTCACCCTGCGAGAAAAGATACGCTGCTAAAAGATATGCACGGAGAAATTGGGGTGGCAACACCTGCTTCCATCTGAGTCTGAAGACGATCCCCAAGGGATGATGCTAACTAAGCTATGGGGAAAACTGGCCTTTTCTCAGATTCCCATAACCTGCATGCAAACTTTTGCAGGGAGATGGTGAATTGGAATCCTGGGGCAAAGAAGTGCAGTTCAACTCTCAGTACTTTTTGAAAATATTTTCTTTTTTATACCATATTGGGAACTTCAGAAAATGTGAACAATAGCTAATGCACTAGGGTTTACTCATACAAGTAGAATTCTTAAGCAACGGGGAGTTATTCTCAGGAGTTAAATTGCTTTCTTCAGGAGTTAAATGATTTGGACATTAGACAGTGTAAGATTAGGCTTGGTGCGAAGTGAATTCTACCTGTGTTTGAATGAGGGATGTTTTGAATCAAGTCCCATGTAACATATTGTGTCTTGCTGGCTCTCACTCTCGGTGGTGACCATTTGAATGCCATTAATAATACAGTGATCCTGTTGTTTGTTTCTTCATCTTCAAGGAGGGGTTGGTGTGCACCTTTGGAGCAGGAGGGGCTGGCCAGCTTGGTCACAACTCCACCCGGAACGAACTCGTGCCTCGTGTGGTGGCCGAGCTGTGGGGAGCAAGAGTTTCACAGGTTGCCTGCGGCAGGTGGGAAAGTACCAATAACGTGCCTTCTAAGGTCAAGGTCTTAGGGGAATCACTGAAGAACAGTAGGGAGGGGAGTCACCAAGATGTTAAAATCCTTGTATCCCAGTAGGTCAGCACTGTCAGAATATCATTCACTCTTCAAGTGTAAGCCACCCTCCTGCCACAGCCCCAGGGAAAGCAGAACCCTCAGCCCATGCCAAGCAGAGGGAAAGGGCTGCAAAAACCACCAGAAACCCTTGGTTTTTTACTCTTTTAAGAAACGAAGGGTGTACTGGGTTCTAAAGGCCAAAAGACTGTCAAAAGCCTGCCTTGGGAAAGTCACCGAATTCCCGTTCACTTTGACAAACTGGTGGGTCCTTAGAAAGAACCGAAGAGTGGTGATAATTATCCAATTTCATTCCGCCTTTCTGGAAAAAAGTCTCCTGTCAACTTTCCTGGGCTTTGTATCAGGCTCAGCAGCATAGAAGTGGCGTTTTTAAAAACAGAAGGGCGTGAGGCTAGCAAGGCATAACACTTCACTCTTGTACATGGAACCAGGGTAAATCAACAAGCATTAGAGGATAGTATAGGAAATTTGAGTCCATGTGTTTCTTTATTGCTGAATGTTTATGGAAGGAAGGGTCCTAAGACTTTGGTTAAAGGGATTCTATAGCTGGACTGTCAGGACTTTTAAAGACAACCCTCAGCTCACCACTCTGAAAACGTATCTGTAAATTTTGTTCTGACTAGCCCAGTGGTATTAGATCATTATGACCATTTTTCTTTTTCTGAATAGACTGCACACCCTGGTCTATGTCCCCTCCTTGGACAAAGTCTATTCATTTGGTGCTGCTGAAGAAGGACAGCTGGAAGATGAGAGAAAGCCTAATCAGTTGATACCACTTCCCATCAATTCACCAGTGAATGCTGGAAAATCCTGTCAGGGTAATGACCATTGCAGATGTGTACAATCTGTATTCGTTTCTTCCAGGGAGATGTTTGCTTTCTTGATTTCATGTTTACACTGAGAGGCTAACATCGTCTCATGCTTGCTTGGTCATCCCTACAGATTCTACAGTGGATAATTCCATTTGCTGCTTTATTTATCATCATGGGTAATGGCCACATAGAATCAACTTTCAGACAGACAGCTACTATCTGAGGGGTTTTTTTACTGTTCCACATCTGTGCACTGACTCTCTGAAGATAATGACTGTCTCTTCAAATGTTCCTTTGAAAATCTTTTTATTCTTTCACAGAAAGCAACGCATCACAAAAGGCGACTGAAATTATTGCAGGAGGAAACCAACGTATTGTCCTTTGCAAGAACAAGGTATGTGCATGTTTGATCATGGCTTCTAATTTTACCATTGTTCATATCACTGCTGGAAACGTTTGGGTTTTCCATCCTGCTTTTAGCACTCCAAGTTCATGTATGTCTCTTGCAGTTCTTTCCATGCTTACCCAGAAACTAACCTGTATTGCAATTATGTATCTGTTCTGTGGTTAATGCATCTGAATCATGCTGGAAGACCATTAATTTGTTCATACTTAAGCTGAAATCTTCTTGTAATGATTGGCTTGAAAAAAAGAATCCCATCTGGTAGACCTGTAATCTTGTCAGTATTTCCATGCATTTCACATAGAATTCCTATTTGAATGGAATTGCCACTCTGAAGGATAAAGAAGTGGATGCATGGATTTCTAATTCCAGTTTGCAACATTGGGAGATTATAAAAAAGTAAGTCAGAAACCTGCTGTTTGTTTTTTTTTTTTCCCTGATACATGATTTTCTCTAAAAATTATTATTCTTTGGAGACTACTGTAGGAACTGATGTTCAAGAATTTACCGAGACAGAATCTTGTACCAGTGCTTCTTACCTAGTTTTTGCACAGAAAAAAAAGATATTGTTAAGCAATAGCCCTTCGATAACCCTTTTGCAGGAACAGAGCAGACGTACGGCCTGGCTTCGGAAGCCTGTCCTCCTCTTCTTGCACAGCATGGTTGTTAAGTTGATGAAGAGCTGACAAGTTAAATCCGTGAAAGATTCGGTCTGCAGACCAAGGCCTCGTGCAAAAATCGTAATCTAGAGTACCCAAACTGGAATGTTTTGTGTGTGTCAGCATTTAAAAATTAGTGATCCCTTCTTTAGTTATCCATTTTCAAAAGCAATAAGTATATATACTACTGTAGGAAGCCTTACACTTATGGCTGAGAATTATGATTATGTAGTCTTTTTTCAGATCTTACGTGGGAGGTTATTTTCTTTAGGGAAGTCTGACTCCAGCTGCTGATTTTGAGCATTTAAAAATCTTGGCTAATTTGGATCTAAATGTTTCCCTGACTACTTTTATAGAGTTTGGATCATATGGAAAGTGGTTGTTGAGAGGGTGAGAGAGAGAGGGTTCTTTCCAGATCTTAATAGGAAGGTCCTGACAGCAAATTGCTTGGTAAAATAGCTGCTTTAATAAGAATAGAGCCAGGAATAGAGGTAGTGAGTAAGTCTAACATCCCTTCAGACACTGGGAACCCAGCTTTTGTGCAACAGCAAATGGATACCCTGATGGATTTTCCCTCAGTGTGCTACAAAGATCCTCTCCGTGGAGGGGTTCCTCCTCCCTCCCATGCCGCGGTGCCTTTTATTTTACATAACAAACAAAATCAGATAACGTCCCAACCTGTCAGGAGAAGATATATCCATCCTAACGCCCACCAGCATGCGACACAGGCTGGCATGGGGCGCTTGAGCAGATTCCCTTACAAGGCCCAGGAGAGCAGAGGTGGCTTGCCGAAGATCACTAGCTCCTCAAATACAAGGTCTTCTGCAACACTGTCAATGAAGTGGTGCTAAGAAAAGTTTTATGTGGTCAGGTGCAGACGCTTGTACACACGTTTTTTGTTCTTTCAGAATTAAAAACCTGAAGTTACTACTCATGTTGAAAGGATTGACTTTGGTTTGTTTTTTACTATCAGGAATATTGGACTGATCTTTTCATCTGAGGCTTGCATCAATGGAAGCTTCCTGGAGAAAAGGTAGTGTACGCTGACTTAGACGTAACAGAATATATTGGCTGCACGTAAACTGACCAGAAAGTGTTATTTTGGCCACATATGTAGAAAATGTTAGTCATATCTGAATTTGCAAGAAGATAGTCTGTATTTTTCAAAGCCCATGCTAAAATTAAGTTTTTGATCCTCCCAGTCCTATTGAAATTTGCTATAGAAGCTCACATTCTAGCAGATTATCCCATAACGACATTTGACCGATAATGATAAGAGTTGAGTCACCATCCCTGGAGGTATTTAAAAGACATGTAGACGTGGTGCTCAGGGACATGGTTTAGTGGTGGACTTGTCAGTGTAAGGTTTACGGTTGGACTCGATGATCTTAAAGGTCTTTTCCAACCTAAATGATTCTATGATTCTACGATAAGCCCTTTAGGCAATATTACAGTTTCCAAAGGATCCATAATAGCTCCTCCCAGCACTGAAGTGCAAATTGTTTTAGGGTGAAATACAGGAAGCCTACTATTAGCAGTGTACAGCTACACAAGACAGGAAGGACAGAATATTAATCATGTCACACCACAGTGAGAATATCTTCTTAGAACAGATGAAATTATACCCACTGGAGCTGGGGCTGAACTTTCCAAGTATTTTCTGATGTTAGGATGCCTCACTATTCCGGCAGTAACAAAAAACAGCTGCTCACATCATTTGGTGTTCTTTTTTTCCTTTGTGATAGAGACAAACATTTCAAAACTTCCAAAGAATTCTCGGGTGTAGACATGTCGGAAGTGCAACATTTTTATGAGAAGATCAGCAAGAAGCCAAAAGTCTTCCAGGAGGTAAGGGTCTGATGTAAGGATTCTCACTACACAGATATTGAGGACCTCTGGATTTGTGCATGAAACTTGGGAATTCTGTGCCAACCTAACTCATAGATGATTTTGGCAAAACATAATTGCATTTTTAACCCTTGTCTCTTTTTTTTTTCCCCTCTGAAGGTGCAAAAGGAGATTGAGAAATTACTGCCATCATTGTCTTCCTCTCCCATCTCACCTGAAAATTTCAGAGTCTACTTGATCTTGCCTTTCCTTCTGCAGGGGAGAGATGACAGCTCTTTCCGTTCTCTCAGGCTGTTAGCACAAGCCATCACAAAGCTCCAGCCAAAGGATCTGCAAACTCTTGGTAAGGTTTTATGGTGATAGAACTGAATGATTTAAATGCTTGGTCATTTTTGGGTGTGGAGCAAGAGTAGTATCACCGATGTAATTTGTTCCAGAGTTCAGCCTGGAATAAATGCTTTCGGTAGAAGTAGAAACATGGGGACTACACAGCAAGACACAAGAAAAAAAATAATTCTCAGTCTGAGGTTTACTAACTTTTGTAATGCAAAATTAGGCATTTTTTTTGGTTTAGTTCATTTGATAAAAAGAGAAAATGCAGCTTCATCCAGAAATTGCAGTTATTTGCATGTTACTTGTTATGGATACTTCACTAGCTGTTTTCTTTACAGAATGCCTATGGTCAAATCTAGAAACATCCTTTTTCAAGGAGCTGGTCATTCTGTATCAGAAGGTTTCCCAGAAAAACCTCTCTCAATTTATCACGGAAGTCAGCAGTTTGCAAAGAAACCCCTACAACCTGCACCCACATGAAACAGAGACTCTGCAAATACTGCAGATTCTTTACCAGGTGAGAAAGTGTTTGGATTCTGATTAGATAGGAGGTATCAGTATGAGTTAGAGCATTTTAACCCTCTTTACTTGTTGAATTCTCTGGGTTTCCTTCTTACAAGGGAACATGGGGCCTCATCATTTGACATTACTTCAGGAATCTCTGGCTCTACACCAGCGTAGCTTTGAAAGAATCCTGCTCTTGACTTGTGCCTGGCTGACCCTCTATAGAAATGAAGAGCTGAAGCATGTTAGAGCCCTAGCAGGGGGAGGGATGCTTTCAGTGGTGTGAGGAGTGCATGCATTGATGCGTACAGAGCTATGGATGTGCTGTCCATTACGTAGCATGCCCATTCCCCTTTCTGCTGGTAAGATCCCTCACCCCAGTAACTGCTCACAGCATTTAAAAGACAACCCATCTGTTTGGCACATCGTGGCTGCTACAGTAACAGTGCATGATGCTTTAAGAGCCTGTTACCTGAGAAATTTTCTGGGACAATAGAATTAGAGCATCTTTAGCTGCATAGGGGAAGAAAGGGGGCAATAACTGTATTCTTCTTGACAACCATCCTTTCTCCTGCTGAGATGTTCAAAGCTTAGGAAAGTCAAGAGCTCAAGCACACGCTTAGTATGAATCAGAGAGAGTTGTTAAATTTTGTTCAGAATTGAATATCCTTTTGGCTGAGAATGCAGATTTGGGCCTCAAAGTTTAGACTCTTGAATCTATATTTATCCAGATAAATAAACTCAAAAGTGCAGCAGGCCTACTCCTCCATAAGTGGTTACATCATTTGGAGCTTTACATGTTCACTGTCCCCCCCCCAAATCCTATCTTTGCCAGGCAACAAGTATGAATGTGAATAGGGAACTTCAGATTGTCTTGCAACATGGAAGACACTCAAAGTGAAACATACCTTTCCTGATGAGGTCCTGCTAAGGGGTCTTCGCTGTAAATGAAATTGCTTTCCTGCTAGTTTATACTTGGCTTTCTGAGACTTCTCACTGTTGAGTGCTCTGCTACTTGTAGCACTTCTATCCTTCCACTTCTGTGCAGGGTCTCAGAGCTCTTTCTGCAGAGAGCCCTGTTACTCCTTAGTCCTGTCCTGCCACACAGACACATCGCTCACCAGGTCTGCTGACACCCCTTTTCATATTGCATGTATCAATGCAGGTGAACTCCAGAACTGGTTTCAGAGTACAAGAAAACAACTTCTATGTGCCTGAAGTGAAAGTGATTATCAAATCGTGTCAGTTCTTTAATGCAGATGTAGTAAGTATAAAATCTTACCAGCAGTACAAAACACCTTTTTTTTTCTCTTTTCTTTAAATGAGTCGAAATATATGAAAGCCAACTCTAGACTCTAGCCCAGTACATCTCAAAGACCATGCATTTTCCCTAGTCCTCTAGCTGTTCTAAATTATGCAAGCCATTTACCATCCCAGTATTTTAGCAGTTACAATAGTGCCTTTCCTGAGATGACCCCTGGTTCTGAGAATCGAAGCTGTCCTTCAGCATCTTAAGCAGCTCTATTTGCTTTGAACTGGTGATCAGTGTGAAATAGCACCACGAGGGATGGTTGCTATACTTCTTGTTACTCTGGATTTCATTATGTTTAATTAACAGAAATATTGTGAGGTCTCTTTGAACTTTTATATAGAAACCCTATTGAGCATTTCAATTTATTTACATCTAAAAACAAAACCGTGGTAATAAAAAATAATCTGTGAAATGGTTAATTTCTTGACGACATGAAGGAGTGAAAATTAGCTACCAAATGCAACTGGCATCACAGGAAGCAGCATGTAATGGAAACATGGATAATAGGGGCTCCCTTAGGCAAAAAATGCAGTTTTCTGGCACCTTGACTGGAATCCACAGGGCAACTGCCTAATTCTTCCATAAGCTTTAATTTGCTTATGTACCAATTTTTTACCAATTAACCAGAGCGGAGAAGGAGTTTGAGAAACAGTAGAGAATCAAAAGCCAAATAGGACATTACCTGAAGTTGCTGCCTTATCACACTGGAGATGTAACACTTTGAATTAGATTATTTTGTATACCACTATCTACTTTTGGTATTACAGATAATAAAACCAACAGTTGTTAACAACAATATACCATAACACGGGTATCCAGGACATTTTTACTATGTGTTTTGGTTTAGCTGAATTATGGAAGGTGCTATTAAAATCACTATGTCTCTGTTTTATTCTTGGGGCACTGTAACACAAGTGTCTGCCTACACAAGACAGTTCAGGTGCCTCTCTGTCAGGGTTTCCCACTCACAGAAGTGTTTAGAAGCTGGTTTTAGAAAGTGTGCCTCTGGTGCTGTAGTGTTCAGGTACACAGCAAGGGCGTGTTTCAGAGATGTAGGAGTTTGCCAAGGTACAGACTGCCAGTTCAGTCTGCACATGTACCCCCGAACCCTGATTTTGCAAGAGAAAATCAGCATGTCTTTTTCTTTCTTCCCTGTCATTTCAGATGGCCCTATGGAAGCTGACCAAATATCCATGCATCTTTGACATGCAAGACAAGATTGACATTCATTATACAGAACGCAATGCTCTGTCCAGACCCTTTAGTGGCGTAAGTGTGGCAAATTTTTTTACAATTTAGAAGAGATAAACACACCGCTAACACACTGTTTCTTCAATCTTCAGACACACTTAATACAGATGGGCCAGGAACTCTGGTTTTTTCCGGTCAGAAGACAGTGCCTTCTGCAAGACATATGGAGCCATTTAAATCACGTACCAACCGAACAATTCAGGAAGCTTTTAAAGGTAAGATACCAAATTGTATTACTTGCTAGCTCTGAATATATTGCTGCAGTGTTCTTTGGTTTTCAGTGTTACTGAAGTATTCGTAGAAGGGTTTCAGTATTCACTGAGCATACAACAAAACAACTACTCATCAAATTATTACATGTTCCACGGGGGATGTAGAGTAAATCTGGAGGGCAGTATCTTACATTCTTATTCCAGGTAGCCATCAAGCTTTGTTGGCATAAGTTAAATGCTAGTGGCAGTGCTATTTACTTTGAGTTTGCTTTGGGGTAACGTAATAGGATTGCTCAGGAAACTGGTAATTGGCAAAGTCCATTACTATTACTGCTAGACTGACTTTAAGGACTCTAGGCTAGTTTGCTGTATGTGAAAAACCTGGTGGCCGGGGAGCCAGCATTAGAGGCCAGCAAGCGACATAGCCACAATGGCCATTTCTCTCACGGAGATGCTACCTGAAGGGAAAGGAAGGATAGTGCCAGCAAGAGAGATGAAAAGCTCATTATATTGCTGCTATCTCCATGTGGCTTTAGTCTGTGGTTTCCACACAAACCCAAAGGTTCTGGCAGCTGTATTTTCTTCAGGTATCGCAATGCTAGCCCTGTCCTGCAAAAGCCATTAGATGGCTGATGTGGGAACAGGGCACCTGGCCAGAGCAGAGCTCAGATCAGGGACCATGTGCCGTATCAGTCACTAACACAAAGCCCGTCAGACTCTGGCACCATGCCTGTGCAGCAGGAACTATCAACCTCAGTGCCCTATTACCCAGTTCTGGTTCTTTCCAAGTAAGCCTTCTTGCCAACCAGAGCTGTCAAAGCTTTTCCTTCCTGTAGACTTAGGAGAAGATTCACAATGGCTCCTAGAGCTACCTTTCCTTCCCCCTTCCTCACTGTATCAGCTGAAAGAGGCATTTATTTACGGAGGCAATAAGGCTTGTGCTCTGTACTGTCCTCTAGATCTACAGTCTCTCTCCACTGATTGTACAAGGAGCCTCAACAAACAGCTGCACTTAGCTCGTCAGCCTTCGAATACACCTCTTGTGGGCACCACCTTTCATACTGTGCGTCACTTAGTGATGCATTATTTGCCTAGCAGCAGCCTGATCAATTTGACTGCATTATTAGTATCCCACCAAGAGACACTGAGGTCTGCAGTATTTACAACTTGATGCTGCATTTCTGAATTTTTCAGCAGGTAAAGGCCATTCATGTGTCTGTGTTGCAGATATAAACCACCCAGTAACAAAACATAAAAATACCATAGCATTAACCTGTCCCCTTCATAGCTGTGTCCTGTTAAGACTTTTTGTCAGACAGTACCGAGAACTTTGCACGTGACACCCTCATAGTGGTCTGTCACTCCATTCTCTAGCGTTGCTGTAAATGAAAACAGGGAAGGTTGAAGTATTTAGCAGAACCATCTCCTGTTCCCTCTCTACTGAGGAGGATAATGCTAAGGGGAAAGATACTCTACATACTTAAACAGCATTTGTAGCTGCCAACTTGGCTACCAAATCCTGGGCTCAGTTGGACTTATTTTAATTCTAACACGTCAGGAGATGCCTCTTGAACGAAGATGACCCAGCCTGGCTATCAAACTTGGGCACTCAGACACATTTAACAAATAGTACAGGGACATACATCTCCTAAGCAGACCCTGGAATATGCTGTAGGCCACTCTAACAAAATCCCCAAATGCACATCTTTTCTGCAGCACTGTCATTTCCCCATCTTTTTCTTAAAAAACAAAACCAAAACAAAACAAACCCAAGCAAGCAAGCAGCTACTGGACATACAGACATGGGTATCATCCACGTAAATTTCTTCATTTAACTCAAGTTTTGTTATTAAACATCAGCCTAATTTATTTTACCTTCTTCTGACAGTGAGACAAATACATTTCAATACACACATCAGTTCAAACCAAAACCAAAGCTCGTAATTCAAAGAGAGATTCCTATCGCTGCACGTTGTCAGTGCTTATTATTTAAGATCAGTTATTTCGGTCAGGTTACAGTTCTTCATTGTAAAAATGATCACCTAGAAGATGTTCATTACTGCCACTACAAACGCACAACACTCTTGAAGGGATACACTACAAGGAATTAGTGCTTCTTGTTATTCCTCCTCTTTATCTGCCTTAGCAGTAATTAAGTAATAGGCTGCTGCAGAGGACTTCATACTGTTCCAGATACCAGTAGAAAAATGACGACAGTCACTAGTGCCAGAAGGGAACTCTCTCAAATCAACTGCACTACCTGATGAGATTAAATAAACTGTGTTGCTTTAGAGAAGCCCAGGGGTTAGCAAATACATTGCACTAGTTGTGCCTAAAAAGCTTAATCCCCATCCAGGTCCATAGGTGGAAGAATACATAAACTGGTATTGTAACGGGAAGGAGGAGACTGTAGAAACATAAGCTGTTTGTGCTGGTGCAGCCCTGTGGGAAGGTTTCATCTACGCTGGCTGAGTAAAACAAGCCTGCTAGGGACAGGAGGGGAACAAGTACAGTCAGTGTGGGCAGGGAGGGGAGCATGCCTCCTCTGGCCATCGGCCCGGTTTACCGCTGTGGCTGGTGGGTCCTCAGGGCTGCTCCGAGCCCTCAGCTGGGGGCTTCTTCTGAGTCGTCCTGGCAGCCTCTGGGATCATATATGGGATGCCATCAATGATGGGGTATGCGATGCCCAGCTCCTCGTTAATGAGCTCGTGGGTAGCTTCTTCGTACCTGGCCAGGCAAGTCAGGGGTAAAACCAAAACAAAACAAAAGAAGGAGTGAATAACCTGGGTTTGCCCTTCGGCAGCCCTTCTCGCTCGACTGGGGCAGCAGCAGGCCAAGGCCGGGCTGCGAAAGCTGCTCCC